GGTTCTATAAAAAACGCTGCATGTCAAACGCCAGCAGCAAGTCTCGTAGTGCTCACAGTGAATAAACTTAAGGCATACTAAACTGTTTTTATCTCGTTACGAGCAGCTTTTTCAAAATGTAATTATTACGTGAAAAGCATCAAGAATTTAAGTTCACAGCTTGACTTGTTCTGAAACCCGACATCAGCCTCGGTATGGAGACGAGGCTACTCACACAGCAAGATTTAAAATGATTTCAAGTCATCTAATCTACACTGCGCTTTAAACTGGATCAAAAACTTCTGAGTAGGGAACACAACTCATTCTGTAAATCAGATTAGTCAAATTTTGGGGCTACGAAAAAAAAAAAGAAAAAACTGCACATAAAAACCCAAAGACAAGAACCCTCCTTCGAGCGAACAGTGCAGATGAATAATGAGTTAGCTTCAGATCTAAGCAGGACAAAAAGTGCAGACAGTCGTCTTCATCATGTCACAGGACATTTTTTTCAAACTAGCATGGCATCTTCTGTGAAAGCAACACTTTTCAATTCCGTCGTATTACTAGTTCAAATCGTACACAAATTAAACATGGAATACCAAGTTTCCTGAGTAAAAAATTTGCGGATAACTCAATCAGTCATGGAACAAGGCACGGCAGGTGAGAGCAAGTTGCTACAGATCTTCAGTGAAGCACCGCGGCTGCAACAGTATCATCAATGTAATTTACGCCAGGAAGAAAAGTGGAGCTGGTTGTGGACAAAGCGGACTAGTGGATGACACCAACGCAAAAAAACAGGCACACGGAAGTCCGCCCACCTGAAGCTTTACATGAAATTACGGGGATAAAGGAGACCCAAAACAGAGAACGAGGAAGTCGTCAGCTGCGCTGATGGTGAAAAGAAACTGGAGGATGAACAAAAGATGGCTAAAGGCAAATAATAGCGACGTGCACCAGGGAGCTAATGCGATAATGCGTATTGTGCAGTCCTGTTTAGCCCACGCTTGCTCTTAAAATGTTCAATGCTTCACTACCTGACATACATATATATATATACATATGTCAGCGAAGCATTGAACATATATACCGTATGTACTGGTCAGCCAAAACTTTCATGTGTTCGTGCGTGAGGCCGGGCGTACAAAAAGTTGAATTTGAAAAAATTATCGGCATCGCACGTGGGCAGAAAAATCTTCCTGAAATTTTGTGTTTCTGACTTGTTTGGTTCCGGGGTTGGAAAATTCCCCGTAGAAACATCGACGTGTCTGTAAGTGGGATTTAGACGTACGCAAAAACTCTACCTCAAAATTTCGATAATTCACACATGCAGGCAAAATCTGCCTAAAATTCCAGCTTTTTAAGTTTCCTGGTTCGCGAGTTAGCAAATTTTCCCGACAAAACTTTCACGTGATTACACATAAAACCTAGGCATTACATAAAAACTGAATTTAAAGTATCTGGATTACAGTAAACGTAGGAGAACCTCCTGAAATTTCAACCTCCCAGCTTTTCTGCTTTCCAAGTTAGCAATTTTTGCATCGTACCTGAGGCCTAGGCGTACATGGAAGCTCGATTTAAATGTTCGAGGTCGCAAATGAGCGTGGAATATCGCGCCAAAAGTTCAGCTTTTCTGGTTCTTGAGTTGTTTATGCGAGAAGCGGAAGGAAAGAAAGATGAAAATGGTGAAAAAATATTTACTTGATATTATCGAAATTCAATTAAGGCCCGTATTAAGGGCCAGAGCCATTACAAGGTTACGGGCTGAATTAACAATCTCAATGCACTCGCTTGTCTGCCCG